ACTAAGGGCCGTTTGCACCATGTCTAGTTAATTCTAACTCCCAGTTAAACATCTTTATCGACGTTATCGACACCCATCATATAACATGTGATCGATAAAGCAGTTAACGTGCTTAACTGAAGGATGTACCTCCAGTTAGCGTTAACGAGACATGGTGCAAATGGCCCTAAGTGAATCGGAGTTTATCAAGTTCATACAAAAACAAAACCTTTTATGTAATAAGATCGCGAAGGAGAAAGAATCAACTCTCACCTCTAAAATTGAGAAAATAAAACAGGAAAGAATGCGAAAACTAGGCATAAACATCAACGACAACTGGTTCGCAAACAAAACCAGCATCGTCTTTCCCCAGGAGGTGAAGTGACTCCCCTCATTAGGAAAGAAATTCACGCTGCCAACAACAAAATCCAACTTCTCGGCAGTTCACACGATTGCAGAAATGGAGCAAGTGATTCAGACGATAAGTCATGATAGAGAAAAAGAATTAGCGAGAAATAAAGTAAGCAATAGGATTTTACAATTCAAACGCAATATAAAAAACAATGTAGCCGAAAAGTTCATTTTAGAAGCATACAAAAAAACAAAAACTTTCCTCCAAGCACACACTAACAACATCATCATAACAGACGCAGACAAGGGGAATAAAACAGTGGCAATGTACAAAACAGAATACGTAGAAAAAATAGAAAACCTACTAGGAGACAAGAACACGTACAAAACAATACGAGCAGATCCCACAAATACTTTGCAAAGAAAAAATAACAACATAGTGGATGACTTATACAAATGCAAAATATATAAACGCAAAAGAAAAGCAACATCTTACTAGCATTGCAGCAACGGCTCCCAGACTTTATGGGTTGCCAAAAATCCATAAGCCAGAAATCCCTCTACGTCCTGTTGCCTCGTCCTGTAAAGTCCCATGTTCAAATTTGTCTAAATATGTTGGAGAAATCCTAAAGCCACTCATCTCTGAATTAGCTTCAAGAATAATTATGAGAAAATGGGCAAAAATAGAAAATATGACGATGATTCCTAAGAACAAGTTCCTAAGTATTCTAGACTTTTGTCTCAAGGACAACAATTACTTCGTATGTAACGATAAATTCTATTCTCAAACCTTCGGAATGCCAATGGGCAACCCCCTTTCTCCCACTACTGCTGATATTGTCATGGACGAATTACTTGACAATACCATTTCGGAGCTAAAACACTCAAACATCGATATTAAATTTATATCCAAATAAGTAGACGATATCTTTGCTATAGTTAAACGAAAAGACGTGAATATAATCTTAAAAACCCTTAACAAATACCACCACAAACTCCAATTCACCATGGAAATGGAACATAAGGCCAGCATCCCCTTTCTTGACGTTCAAATCCACAGGGAAAGAAATAATCTCCTACTGGACTGGTACTCAAAACCGTCGTCTTCGGGTCGTCTGATTAATTTCTTATCTTCACAACCTAAAAAATACAAAATTAATACGGCTAAAAATTTAATACACAAAGTACTCACATTGAGTGACAGGAAATTTCACGACATAAACATACAAAAACTCAAAAAGATCCTCAAAAGTAATAGCTACCCAGAAAAGCTAACACGCGACTTAATAAAACAAAAAACTACAGAACTAACCGGCCACCTTAATAAAACGTCGAGTAAAGTAACAACAAACACCACAAATCGATATTTCAGTGTTACTTACATTCCGCAGTTGTCCGAAAACTTAAATCAACACATTGCTAAACAACAGAACATAACGCTAGCATACAAATCCAATTGCACTTTATCCACAATATTTACAAAAACAAAATCCCCTATAGAATTCAAACAACAAAACAATGTGGTTTATGAAATAAAGTGCAATGGTAAAGAAGCCGAAAACTGCGACAAAGTGTACATCGGAACAACCAAGCGAGCTCTGGGTACTATTCTAAGCGAACACGAAGCAGACATAAAAAAAACCAAGAAACAGCACAGCGCTAGCGCAGCATATTAATACCAGTGGCCATACAGCTGATTTGGCGAACGCAAGAACACTTGATGTAGAGAAAAGAACAAAAACAAGATTCACATTAGAAAGCTTAAGAATAATGTAGAAAAGGGACAATGCAATGAACAAGAAAGAGGATACTGATGACATCTCTGCAGTTTATTTATTATGTTTATAAATATCAATAACATTCAGTTTAGACAAAGCTACCACAAGCGTTGGTAATGCTATTTAGTTTTACGTTATAAAGTTTAATGTTAAATGTAATGTAAGTTAATAACTCTTTTGTGTTAAACCTAGCTATTTGTTTTTTATGTATTCATATGTTTATTGGTTCTTTGTTGTTTTGTTAATGTTTTATATTTATTGCTGCGCAGGTAAATAAACAAAAAACTCCCCTGCAGATGCTAAAAATCTTAGCGAAACGTCGGGAAAAAGCTAAATCAAGTATTTTTATTTACACAACGGTTAGATCAGAAAAGCCTAACAAATACATCAACTTCGAAAAAGTTTTAGGTCGAAAACCATTTTCAGCAACGAAAACAAACAAACAAAACAAAAGTAGTTTTCAGAGAAAACTAGTTTTCGTTTGACAGACTTTACATGGACGAAAAAGTTGTAGGTCGAAAACCATTTTCAGCAACGAAAACCTGTTTTCAATGTCGGTCCAAACCAGGGATGCCAGTTTTCTTGGGGCTACTTCCCCGAAACTCCTGAAAAAGTTCGTATATTTTCAATGAAAATACCCCGAAATGAATTTTGCGACATATTTAGACATTTCATCCACAAATATCATTAATTGTGATATATGTAATAAGGACAGTCTTTTTAACATTTCATGTTTGTAATATAAAAACTAATACGATGGCTTGGTGGCGAAAACGAAATGAGAAAAGAGAGTGTCAAACGAAAACATGGAAGTGAAAAATGTCGCTATGCACGGTTTCAATTTATTCAATATGCACACGGTTGCTGAGGCGATTACGTAATGTTCCAAACCCTTAATAATAAAATAAGAGATTGTTATCACAAGTTACAATTTATAAATGCAAGTTCTTCCTCAATAGCAATGTTCTGAACAAAGTTTTTGGGATATTGAATTCCCCCAAATTTAAAGCCATTCCCCGATTCCTCAAGAGAAATTCAAATTCCATCAAAATTGGGGAATTCTTCCCGGTTGGCATCACTTGTCCGAACATGGTATTGTTATAGTTATTTTTTTATGTTATGTTTTGTTTTGATGGCGTCTTCTATTCAAAATCAAATCAATCAGTCAAAAGTATCCCTGTCACGCAGAAAAGAATTTCTATCTGGTGGAGCCTTTACTCAGGGCTGCCAACCATTTAGCTATAAAGCGCCATATTGAGGATAAAAAAGCGCCAGAATGTGCCAAACCGAAAAATAAAAGTGCCAAAAAAGGTGACATTCTTTTAGCTCTTCCCATTCATCATTAAAATTAGAAACACATTCGTAAAACAAAAGTCCAAAGTAAGATAAATCAGCATACACTATAGAAATTAGAAAAGGAAGTACACACAAAGGATTTTACAAAAATGTATTGAAATATTTGTATATATCAATAGTGCCATTTTGAAAAATGAAGTGCCATTTGAGTTAAATAGGGCCAAAATTGCACGGTTTTTGCCAATCTGGCAGCCCCGCCTTTATTGTCTTCAAAATAACTAGTGATGTGCTGGATTGTCGGTATCCAATACTTGGTACCCAATAATTTAAAAATATGTTGGTACCATAACTCCCTTTTCGGTACCCGATACCAATTCTATACATTAAGGGCCGGTTACTCAATGTCCGGTTAACACTAATCTGCGGTTAGCATCGTTATCGACATCTTCGACTATGTTTAACCGGAGATTAGTGTTAACCCGACATTGAGTAACCGGCCCTAAGCCTTCGTCATAATATACTGTTACGATTATCCTTGTTTAGTTGACGGATTTTCCAAAATCCTCTCGGTTCGTATCGCTGGATTGTTAAATAAACACTCAAGGTGACCATATTACAGTACAATTAACTTTATTGTACAACAAACACTTTAAAATACTTGTTTATGCAAGGAGAACAATTAGCAATTCTTGTTAAGGCAATAAAAACACTTTGGAAAACTGGATAACACAATTTATCTCTGTTTTACAACTTACAGACTCGCAACTGACTTGTATGGTAGCTTGCTGACTTTCAATTAGCTCCTCTTCGCTATAGCAGCGGCCTTATATGCCTGCGCTCGCACTCATGGCAACTCTTGAACACTCTGCTGTCTATCGCACATTATCTCATTCTTTCGCTGTTCACGGTATTTATCCACTTGACGTTTTTCGCTGTTATGACATTTTCTTGTTGTTCGCTTCGAGTTGCCGCAGTATTCGCCACACTGCCCTCCACCTAAGTCTGATCGTCCCGATGCGTTACTGGACATTGCTTCCGGCTTATCTCTGGGAGTGCACCATCTCAAAATGGCCGTGCTTCTGCCGGCCACTGGAGGTGACCAGACCATGTCTTTTCTCATTGGCGCCCTTTTCGCCGGATTTACGCCGCTTCCTCTTGCCATGACTACCAGGCTTCGATCCTCGATCTGCACTGCGTTTAGCACATTTTGCTAAATCCGTGTTTCCGCTTCTCGCTCTTCCGCCGATGTCAACTTCATTAACCGGACATGTATAACCACAACTTGGGCCTCCTGCCTGGCTTGCCATGACCACTTTCTTGTGGTAACTTCCTCTTTTTTACTGAGTTTGTTGAACCTTCACGCTTTTCAGTTATAGCTGGACCTCTTCTTTCTCCGGTCTCAATAACTCCATCTCCATCACTGCCAACCTCGGCCCAATTAACCGCTTTCGTTTCTGGTGGAATCTTCGGAACTTCTGCAGTGGTACTTGTTATCGTAACCAACCCTAAGTGGCACTTTCCTGTCACGATATGTCAAGATCATTCTGGAGGTCAATATTCATGCCTCGGCCAAGTAAGAAATCCACGCCGATGATGACTTCATCCACATTGCCTGCCACTATAAACTTGGTGTACGAGGCCACGCCCCCGATTATTACCCCACATGGTACTTCTCCTAACACTTGGGTTCGCGCACCAGTTGCCGTCTGCAGATTTGCTCCAAGTGGCCAAATCGGGTCCAATAATGGAATGTGACGCTGCAGTATCCACTGTCAGTACTCGCTCTTGCCCATTTACGCATTCACCAACGGTGAGGTTGCTCGCTTTTCTGCCAGTGCGTGCCCCTTTCTGCTGGCTCGTTTTAGTTTAACGACTGATTGGAGTTGGGTTCGTCTCCTTCATCTCTGCATTTTCGTCCTGCTGAATTGTAGAGCCCAATGGAACTTGCGCTGCAATCGCGGACGAAGTGTCCTGGCTTCCCACATTTAAAGCATTTCCCTGAGCCATTTTTCTTCGCGCACAGCAGCTTGATTATCCTCTTCAGCATTTCGTTAGTCTCGTCCGGTGTCTCCACTTCCACTCGATGGGCTTTGTAAGCTGTTCTACTTAGGAGAGACACCGTTTCACGTGTCTGAGCATATGAGACAGTCTCAGCAAATATTGGCTTTGGACTCACATACGCCTTTCGCTTGTTATACATGTTGATGAATTTCTGGATTTTTAACCTTTCAAGGTGTTCACCAGATGCGTTTCCAATTGCCAAGTGGACCAACCTCTCGATCTCTGTGGCGAAGCCCTGTAGAGTCTCGTTGGATTTTTGGCAGCAATTCTCCAGCTCTATCTGGTAGACCTGTCTCCTGTGTTCGCTACCAT